CAGGGTGTAACATGTTTGGGTGGAAGCTTTTAAAAAAGCATTTGAATCTCTGGGTCACTTCTTCATAAAAAGGTTAATCTATATGTTTGTAAATGTTAGTTCTATTTTGGAAATAATGAGCAAAGGAAAATATTTTTTGTAACTCTGCTAAAATTACCACATGCTTATGCCGTTATAATGGCCCTGCCTGGGGAGGCAGATCTGGAGGAACAGAACTTTAAATACCAAGATTAGCAAATTAACCGACAGGAAAAAACAAATAGCCAATTAACCTACTACTGCACAGCCTGGGGGCTGGCCTGGAGCTCCAGGCTCTCTGTGGCAGCTGATATTTGGTGTCCTGAAACCTCCAGCCGATGCTGTTTCTCTCCCTCAAGCTCCACAATCCCAGGGAATGTTTGCTTTGTATGTCACTTCCTTTGCTGAGCAAGTGAGGAAATCACATCGTGTTGCTCTGAAATGGTTGCTACGGGAACATCTCCACCTAGTCATTATCTACACAGGCCACTGATTATATTAAGCCAAGAGACAGATCGTAGAAGGGGTCGCTGGAGCCACCTGCTCTGCAGAAAATTGTAATTGCGTCTGCGACATTCACCTCTGTGGCCACACGTTTCTCTCAACACTCCTCTCTACATTTTCTTCTCCCTTGTTTCCCCCCAAAGTTAGTAAATGAAATAAATATGTAGGAAATCAGCATGGAGATAATATGAGCCATTACATCCCCATCTCCCCTGCTCTCCTCCAGTCCTCTGTTTTAGAACCTCATGTGGAATAAAAATAATTGTTACCTTTTCTCTCATTCTATTCTGAACCTTTATGCTTAGATGTAAAGATGACTCTCTTCTTTAAAATGCCATGATTCCTGTGTCCCACACAATGGTGCTGAAAAGCCACAGTTTCCTGCTACTTATCCAAAGAAGCTTCTAGAAACTCATAGAGATGTCTCTTTTCTAAATTGTATAAAATATAAACAGAAAATGAAACTGGCTGTTAAGAAGTAATTTTATCTCACATATTTCTATTAATCTGGATGGAATTCATATGAGGAGGACTTTCTGATCTTTATTCCCAGATTGCCAGTGACATATGAGAAGTGTCTTGGAGTATTCTTTTCTAGGGAAAACTATACAATCTGTTGGCCTTGTAATTTATTGTCCAAACCAGGCTATTTTGGGAGTTGAAAGGTCACATTATTAATAAGTATGCCTAGACAACAGCTGCAAATTAGGATTATGCCTGACAGACCAGGTATACATTTTCACCTTATATGTAGCTGAGAGGAACATGAGCATGGCAGTGCTATGCCCTCAAAAAAGCTGGGGAAAGCAGCACCTCTTGCAGAAGAACATTTATGCATTTAGAAATTATAACTGTGGAGTTTCAAATCTGGGTTAGCAAGGGTTTCCCTTTTTGTTTATACTTCTATTGCATGTAAATTTGGTTAATGTGAGTCTATTCTTTAAGTGAACTGATGACACTGGGAAAAGAATGACAATGGAAAAGAAAAAAAAGACATTAACAAAGGAAAATAGACTGGACTGAATGTATCTATAGAGATGTCATAAACCCTTTTGCTCTGTTTAAAAATTCAACTTAAGGGTTTGTAATTTTTTTCTATAAAGGGCCATATACTATGTGTTTTGAGCCATATGGTCTTGGTTGCAGCTACTCTGCTATGTAGGGTGAGTATCTGTACATGACACATAAACGGATGGGTGTGCTGTTTTCCAATAAAATCTTGTTGACAAAACAGGCAGGGTGAGGAACAGATTTGGTGCATTGGCTATTGTTTGCCTATCTCTGATCTAGTTCTCTGTTTTAATGTCTAGGAACTGTGTTCTGATAGAAGGAAAGTTATTTTAGATATGAATTCTGATGTCTCCTGTCCTGTTATGACCAGTTGGAGCTGTGGCTAGTGGGGCCCATGGATGGAGAAGTACAACGGGTCTTACTACTTAGTGTACATTTTTGCTTGTGAGTGTTTCAGTCATTCGAGGCACAGCGGAGTGTGTGGTAGAGGGTAAGCAGCCAGGGACACTTTGGACAGGGAATGGCTGCCACGTAAGCTTCACTTAGCACCTTAGAAGGAAGGCTGCAGTGAAGCAGGCAGGGAAGGGAGGCTGTGGTGATTCAGTTTTTCCTATAAACGATTTTTGAAAAAATTCCTAGTTCCTTGGGAGAGTGTGCAAAAGTGTAAGCACCTGAAGAAAATGGATTCTTGGGTTTGTGCCTGTACTTGGAAAACACGGACTCAAAATTAAGGTAAATGATATTAAAAAATCACTTTAGTTCAGTACTTACCATGTAGAATTGGAAATGTTCTTAGGGGTCTAACATTTCTTATAAAGTTATATTGAAAATGTTTCCCTTCAGGCAGAAAGTGCACACTAACACCTCAGGCAAACCACAAGGACATGAATGAGGTTAAAGAGAATTAAGTAGACTGTACACTATAAAGCAGTAAGAGCTATGACATATATATTATATCTTATGTGATGCTATATAATACAGATGTTCACATGTCAGCTGCTACTTGGTGACAAGCTGCTTTAATTGCAGACTAAGCTAGGAAAGCTAGGAAATTGTGGAGAGTGACCACAGTAATGTCATTGGTTCTAGTTTCAACTTACTAACAAGGTATATGAAAGCATTAGGCAATGGAATGGGAGGTACCACAGATAACGAAAAATATTAGAGTTCTATCCGAGCTGTTTAAGTGAAGAGGATGACTGACATTTGTAATTATTTAATATAATCTTTTTGAGGGGACTCTTTAACTGGTATGTTAACGTGAATTACTGAGAGGTCAGTAACTATAAAGAGAGTGTCCTTCAGGATCCTAAAGTCTACATATAGGAATTTTTACACCTAGGAAAAAAAATTGAGACCGCTTGTAAAACAATTATAAAAATAAGGTAAATTTATATTGCTCAGCATATGTTACTGATAAAGAGCTCTGAGTGAAACAGTTACCCAGAGTTGGGGGCAGAGCAGAGGAGAAAGGGAATTGCGGGACGGATGGCCACCACTGTCACTCAGTGGGTGGAAGTTCATGAGCAACAGGTGAAATGGGGGTGGAGGGCAGAGAGCATCTGGGGTAGGGGAAGGAAGCTAGCGTTGAGTCCAGGTGCTAGAAGTTCCTGGAGGATCTACAGCAGGGGGTGACAGGACGGTACCTGCTTACAGATGATCTTTTATATTGTGACTAACGTAACAGTGAAATATTATCTGCCTTGAGTTTCTGTTTAAATTCTTCTATATTTCCTAGTTTTTTTCAGCTTAAAAAAGTAAAATAAGGTATTAAAAAAAGTCCAAGTGTTACAGAAACCTGAGATGTAGACAGTTAAATTTTCTGTAATTCCACCTGCAAAGATTAACTATCATTAGCAGTTGACATTGCTTATTAACACTAGGATAAACAAAAAAATAGTTCATCATTTGGAATCTTAGAATTATAAAGAGAAATATCTCCTGTTTTTCTAATTTGTTCATGCCTTATATTAGAAACCATGATATAACATCTTGTTTACTATTGAAAAGAGGCATTTTGGTTATTTTTTGCCTCTGACTTGCAGTATGTGATGCCATGGCGAGTCCTGGTCTACATGAGGCAGTGAACTGGACCCTTTCTTATCCCCACCCTGCTTGGTGGAACCATGTTCCTAACACCTGGAAATCTATACAGTCTAGAGGATGTCAAAGGGGTAACTTCCATGGGTAGCTGGTTATAAGAAGACGTAAGAGACACTGTCAGAGCTCCCCACAGGCTGTAACCAATGTTGCGTTGGTCTAGTGACTCAATTCTATCTTCTAAAAATGTGTCTTTTTGGGATCTGCGGGGCGGGGGGTTGTCTCTGGTAGAAAAAGAGTTACTCCAAGTCTCTCTGTCTCTGAAAGAGCTGCACACTGCTATGAGAGGTTAACAAGCCAGTGGAAGTACAAACATGCCCACGCTTTATTGGCCTTTGGAGGATCTAAGGATCCAAAGCAGCAAGTTCCAAGTTTTTCCTATTAATTTTTTGGGGTCAAAGTAAATCAAGTTACCTCTTTAGTTGAACTTGTTTATTTCAAAGAAAGTAATATTCTGTGGGTGCAACCTAGCACTTTGAAATTTATGGACAGGAAGTGATACAAGAACCCAATACTGAAAACCCTGGATCAAATTGTGAGATTTATCCACTTTATTCACCTTTGATTCCCAAGTCCAAAGTGAAGGATGACTGTAATTGTTAGAAGACATGAAGTCTGGAGGGGGAAATGGTCACTGGTTTGGGTTTTCAAAGGAACTTGAGATTAAGAGAATTATGAACCAGAGGTTGAGCAAAACTCCAAATGAGGACGAGTATATGAAGGCGAAAGGTAGAAATAAGTGAACGTTCCAGGTAGTCATGATGGAGGAAGCAGCAGCAAGTGCAGACTAAAAGGACCTCCCAGGGTGAGGAGTTTTGCCAGGAGAGTGAGAACAGACTTCAGAGACTCAGATTAGATAAAGCAGAGAGAATTAGATAATGGGTAATTACTAAGGGCAGCAGTAGACTAGGTTTCCCTGTGGGGTTTTAAAAATAAAATAGAATCTCCTCTAGTCTAGTCCTGGCTGAAGGTGGAGAGAATGTTCCTGACAATGAAAGGAACAGCTTCGTTGTATAGGGCTTCACAGTTTTTAAGATTTACATTTTTTCCCCTTAACAGAGGCACCAGGGATTGAACCCAGGACCCAGTGCGGGCTCTGCCATTGAACTCTTACCCTCACCACTAAGATTTGCAGTTTTAAAGCTGACATGATCTCACTGGACCCTCCCTAAAGCTCTGAGAGGTAAGGCAGGGACTGGATTACTTCACTGCTAACGGAAATCTAAAGACAAAGGGTTAATTTCCTAATGGGAGGGGAGAGATGGAGGAAGGAAGGCAGACCTCCGAGGGTTTTGAAGTTCAGAGGGAAGTGAGAATTTTTTCTTAAGGAAACATTTGTTCCTTTCCAGGTACACTTGATTACTCACTGTTAAGTAGGCGGAAGTCAATGAATGGGTAGGAGCCACGGCGTTCAGCAGGAACCCCCGTCTGACCCCTCAGTCGTACATCTCCTAGAAAATAGAAAATACAAACAAATGTTTGAAAACATTGCCAAGTGTATTCACTTTTCCTCTGTAAATCCTCTTACCCACTTACTGTCACTGGAACCAACACTAAAGATCGGGGGGGAAAACGATTCCATTCACCTCATTTAAGAGAGTGCTATGCGGGAAGGGTATTTAATGAACGCTGCGTGATGAACTTGGCAGTATAACAAATGAAGCAGCACTCCTTTTGTGTTTGCCTGGAAGATGGTCTGTGAACATTTTGGTAATTTACAAAGTTTCCACAGTCTTTTTATTCTTCCTAGAACCATAAAGATGAAGCACCTTAATCTGGCGGACAAATGGTATGCTGGGATTATAGCTTTTATTTTAATTAGAAGTTTTAATTGCCCACAGTGTTATTTCTCTTGGTTACTGCACAGTTTTGTTTTGTTTTTTTTCCCCTTCTAACTGGCATCCACACTCCTTGTTTTCCAGGTTGTATTATTGATCTTCTTTAGAATCTGCTCAGATCAGGGCCAGTCTCGCTCTGGGTACTTGAGACATTTAACCTTCCTTACACCTACGAGTCTGTAGAACTTCTCTAGCACTTGCTCATTTGTCAGTTTCTTCTAATGTCTGTGTTCACTTTCCTTGATTAAGGGAAGCAATGAAGTAGAGTGGAAACATTTCGCATGGACTTTCAAATAAGGTAAACCTTGTTTAAACCTGGCGCAGACTCTGGCTTAGATAACCTGTGTGATCCCAGAAATTTATTTCTCTGAGCCTCAGCTGCCTCACTTCAAGGTATCATTGGTTGAAGAATCTAAAATAACACTTGCTGCCCAGCAATAAACACTGGTTTTACTTCCTGCTACACTCCTGCAAAGCAGGGGTCATGCATATTGTATTATGTGTTTTACATTTCTCTGTAGTGCTTTGTCTATTGTCTGGTACTTGGCAGACTCTAAGTGAATGTCTTCTGTTGACAAAAAGAGATATAAAGTCCCAATTCACCCGTTAGCACATATAATACGGAATCAGAGAAGAGGTAAAAATACATGAGACCCAATATATTTCTTGAAGACCTAAATGGGGGGAGGTTTCGATTCCAGGAGTGAAGAGTCCACCTCCATAAACCACTCTTTCTCAGACATGACGTGGCACCTGGGGCTCAGCCTCCCAGTGGACAGGAGGAACAGTCTTCTCTCAGCTCCTGGAGTTAACCAGGGCCTGGGTGACATCTCCATCAGCTGTAACTCAGGCAATCAACAGTGTTTAAAATATCCCTCACAGATGGGCCTTGTGCATATGTGGGCTTCTAAACTGCAAGCTGTGATCCCTTGGGCTATTCATTGCTTTGAACTTTATATCGATGCTTTATTTAATGTTTTGTATAATCTGATACTGTAGTGCTGTATTGATATTAAAGAATGTTACAATTTATAGAACACAACAGAGTCGGAGGAGGAGGGAAGAGACTGAAAAGTACACTTAAAAATATGAGTATAATCTGACACCAAAGAAGGTAATGCTTGCATTTGATAACTTCATGGGGATGGATGGTTAATAGCTCTAGGAAAGATTCTGGGGAAAGCTGAAGGGTTTTCTTTTCCTTGAGTTGTCTTGCAACTTATGTTTATAATTCTCCAAAGAGGTTACAAAGCACTTTCACATCATTGTATATTTATTTTCTTATTTCTGTCATAGGGTCTTCACAGTAGCCTCGTGAGGAGGCTCACCGTTAGTCTCCTTATTTTACAAGTGAGAAAATAGAGGCTCAGAGAAGAAGGTGAAGGACTGCTATTCCCCTCACTGGCCTCAGCTCTGGACTCAGACCCCTTAAAGGCTCTCAGTAGATACCTACTGACTTTATTTACATATTTTTATTATTCATTTTTATGGAAGTAAAGTTGATTTACAATACTATACTAGATTCAGGTATATTTTTACAGATTATACTCCTTTAAATATTATTACAAGATAATGGCTATAATTCCTTGTGCTACATAATACATCCTTTATCTAGTCTATACATACTAGTTTGTATTTCTTAATCCCATACCCCTATCTTGCTCCTCCCTCCTCCTCTCTCCCCTCTGGTAACCACTAGTTTGTTTTCTGTTATCTGTGAGTCTATTTCTGTTTTGCTATATACATTCATTTGTATTATTTTTAAAATTCCATGTAGAAGTAATAGCATGCAGTTTTTGTGTTTTTCTAACTTATTTCACTGAGCATAATATTCTCTAGGTCCATCCACTTTGCTGCAATGGCAGAATTTCATTTGTTTTTAATGGCTAAGTAATATTCCTCTGTGTATGTGTGTGTGTGTGTGTGTGTGTGTGTAAGACATACGTGGCACCAGGGCTTCAGCTTACAAAGATACACACATATATACAGACACATATATATATAGAAATACACACATATATATAGATACATATGTGTATCTATATGTATATGTATATGTATATATGTTCTTTATCCATTCGTCTATTGACTTTAATTGACTGCCTGAGTTTACGGTGCTTTAAGCTTATAATTAGCAGGGCGAGTCCTTAAATTTAGGTTGTTAAACTTCATAGGCAGAGCTCCCCCCTCAATACCATTGGTTTTTAGCCTTATGAAATGTGCATGCCTGGTTTTCAAAATTAAAAAAAATCATAGACCCTCCACATGATAGAAGTTGTGCTTTTAGTATTTATCGAGAAAGTACAGCATGTTAAATGATACAACAGACTCAGCACTGCCTTTAAATGGATTTCTATTTTATGAATGACAGTAAGATAGACATATACTTGAAAACCTATGTAGAGATGAGACCATCTTTGTCTGCAAAGCTGGCTGGGCTTGTGGATTTGTTCACCGGTTGTATCATCCCTTTGGGTGTCTCCCGTGGGTTTCAGGCTCACCAACTGGAAATCACTTCTCCACTGGTATTTTCTTCTCAGTATTACCAGAGAGTTCCTCCTGACTTTGTAGTTCTAATGGTACTGTTTTCCCAGAAAACTTCTGTCTCATATCGATGGGGGTTTTAAAGCCTCTGCCGGAGTTTATCCCATTTGTCCATCTGAGAGTCAAAGGCAGAGGTAGCCCATCATCTTGTAAGACTTTAGATTTAGAGAAACTGTGAGGAGACAGCATGAGGTGGCAGATGGGTAAAAGGAGGGTGAGACGCTAGGAATCAGGGAACTCCCGTTACTGACATCATCCGCATTTCGCCATCTTGGGTGATGTTGGGCAAATCAATAATCACCTTGAGGTCCAGTTTGCTAATATTTAAATGAGTATTACATAGCATTTCCCCCCACTTCACAGGATTGTTGTGAAGAAATTATAAGGTGCCTGAAAATAACTAGATGGTTCACATTATTGAATACTTTTGCTGTGCTGAGCATTTTATATGCATCACCTCATATCATCTACCCAACATCCCAATGAAGGAGGTATTATTATTATTACTAGACCATTCACAGATGAGGCAACTGAAGCCAATGGAAATCTGATAATTTGTCTGCACTCAGAGCTGGTGAGTGGGGAGCTTGTGCTCCAACTCAAGAACTGGCTCCATCCCCTTTTTTAAACCATTCTCCTATATTATCAGGATACAAAATACTGTAGAAACGGTTAAGCATTAACTTTTTACTGCATAATGTATGCTTTGATCTTATTTGCCGATAGACCAAAAATATATTCATCATGATTCCTGGAAACTAAATACCAGGGGAATCCACCCCCCTGATGAACTGGAGATTCAGTCAGATAGATGTTGTTTATTCTCACAGCAGTTCAGGGGAAATGGTCTGTAGAGTAAGACGACCAAATCCTGCTCTGGATCAACAAGGCATCCATTATTTTCCAGTAAGAAATGGTAAGCAATTATTAAAAATATTATTCAGTAGAACTCAAGCAACTTGGCAACCAATTTACTCAAGCTCTTAATTAAGTAGAATCTTTATAATGCAACTCCCCTTTGGGGATAAGAGACAAATAACAATGAAGCAAGTTGATAACAAAGATACCTAAACAAACAAACAAAACAAATCAACTGCAACAACAACAAGCTACAAAACCCAGACCTGAAAGGTTCCGTTCCAGTGCTTATTCTGTCTATAACTACAATTACCATCTTGGAAGCAGATACTCATAAACCTGACAGTGGCTTTTAGGTGTAGCAGATAATTGCTTTAAAAAAGGATGAAATCATGTTAAAAATACTAGCAAGGCAGGAGTCAGGACAATTGCAAGTGGGCTAACAGGGCACTTTAGAACTGTTTCAACGTGAAAAGTTAAATACAAACAAACCAAAGATTCCATATCTTGAGCGTTCTATTTAATCTAAGGTTGAATGTGAAAAAATGAATGTTTTTCAGTATATATTTCTGATATAGATATATATTTCTTTCTGTAAGTTTTCACTCCTTCTCCTTGCTGTCATGAGCCTCTTCTGACAGTAAAGTGCTTTAATATGCTCATGGGAAGAGAGAAATAATTCAGTAACAACGGTCCCTGGAGGAGCAGAGGCCACTGGGCAGATGGCCGAAGAACAGAACGGGTGGCGTCCTGCTGCACTGCTTTTCCTGGCCCATGGTCTCCAGCGATCATCTATTTACCCAAGGCCTTATATCCAAGCTAAACAATTATTTTGACTATTCCTTAGACCCTTGTTTAACTTAAGCAACATTTTTTTCTGGCAGACGAAAAGGTGCTGTGGAAACAGGGGAGGAAGCGCTGACAGCTCAGAGCCGCGTCCTCAGTCTCTTCTTATTGTGTTCCAAAACGAAACAAACAGCAGGGGAATTCTTATTTTGAAAGGGCTACTTCTCTTTTGCCCCTTCAGGCTGAAAACATAACATGTCGTCCTTGGGTATTTAAAGCTGCAAACACAGGCAGAGAGCTGAGACAGCCACCCACCCCCCAGGGGACGTGGTTCCGGGAAGGACCTCTTGCCCACTTGGCCTCTCGGGCCGTCTCTGTTTAATAGAAGCTTGGGAGGGAGCAGACGTTATGTGGCCTCTTATGTA